TACAAACTCCACTGGGAGGTCAGCAGTGGAGTTTCTCATTCAGACAGACAGACATGGCGGCGAATAATGAGAGGGGTTCACTGTCAGGTGAGAGCAGCGGTGAACTTGAGTTATCTGCCCGAACTAGTTCTTAAGCTTTGCTTCAATTAATTGATCAAAGGAGGTATTGTTCATCTTGGTTTTAGAGGATGTGATTTACTATCAAACCACTTTAGTCTCCTGACAACAGAAAGACAAAAAGACTCCAATGGCGACAGTCCTCTGTCTCGGCGCCATAGGTCTAGAAAGCTATAAAGAAGTTAATCGATGTAGAGCTGATCCTAACAGGCATGTATTCTCTCTTTTTTTGGGTTCGTCGTTGACAAACAAGCTTACTTGTTTGGAAAATCCACAAAGAGGACCCTCACATGATGAGCCTCGCAGCTAGTGGGGGCCATTGATGGAGGGTCCATCAGAGTCAAGCAGACTGGCAGATGTTGCGACATCTGAGGTTGAAAACGTCTGTTAATCCAGCTAACTGCAAAAGATAGGACAAATCATCAACGCTTAGTATAGGTTTCAAGATTTAGAAGATTCAAACAGCTTTTCGCCTTCATGCTCCTGACAGGAAGAGGAGAAAACTCGACTCTGGATGCCAAACGGTACATGCAGAGCTTTCTGAATGTCTGCAGGTCCTTATTTGTTAGCAAAGAAACTGGAACGCTATGTAATGTCTCTCCTGCTGGCTGTGAAGTCAGACCTTTCCACGGAGCCATCTAAGAAGCCATTTACTGAGTTAAACCTCAGTTGTACCAATAAATCTTGAAGCCTCACCCCCTAACACTGTACAGTGCTCTGGGAAACATAAAACCCTCCAAAGCAAACCATAAAATAGCTCCAGTGGGACTCCGGCCATGGCTGTCACGGCTGATTATAAATCTTTATGCCTTATTTACAACAATGCAATGGCGGGCTGTGCATTTTATACCTGGGCCTTCTGTGCTCCTAATAAGCTCATTATGATGCCACAGCTACAGTTATTTGTTTCTAGGGGTGTAACAATACACGTATTCATATTAAACCGTTTGGTACGAGGCTTACAAACAAAATATTATTTGAAAAATTTTAGTTTTGTTGAAGGATGTTGACCAATATGTGAAACTGCTTTATAGTCCGACGAATAAAAAGGCAATGAAGACACTTAATATCTGGATGTTTTATAATATTTTTGTTTATTTCTTTGTGCTATACCCGTCTTATTTGTTATTGTTGTATTTTTCTCCTTTATACTGAATGTGTTTGTTTGTTTAAAATAAATAAAAGGAAAGTACAGCTGAGTCTCCAACTACTGTAAAATATAGATATATATTTTATTGCAACTAAGCCTGATTATTTGCCTTTGATGTTATTCAGAAATATTTTTGTATTAAATGTAAACCTCTCTTCTCATACATTTCCTCTTAAATCTCCTTCCTTCCTTCCTTCCTTCACTGCATAATTGTCTTCTCTCCTCTCAACTCTCCTCCTCTCCATCTTTTTCCTGCTTCTCTTCTTCATCGTCCTCCTCCCCCATCTCAGCTGACTCCTTTCCTTTTCTTGGCCTTTCCATCCCCACTTTCTCCTCTAAAAACTTCCCCCCGCTCGATTCATATTTGATGATTTCACCTCGGTCCAGGATAATTATTACACAGTTGTCACGTCACGTGGGAAGCCCGAGGGGCCCGCTGGAGATGTGCGTTGCCATTGTGCTCGTTAAAAATTAAAAACGTCCTTTACAGTGATGATGCTGAACCAAAGCCTGGCGTTAAGGAACCTCTTATGATGTATGACTAATGCTTAGTCATAGAGGGGGGGAAACAAAACAATATACAGTGTGTCCCTCACTTTGTAACATCTCGAGATAAGTGAAACACATGCAGTGAGTGCAGACGGGTCGAAGCTTTAGCTCTGATGGGATCTAATGGGAAAAATTAGCATTTTGCTTCCTGTTCTGGAGACGTGAAGAAATATTGTACTGGGAACAATTTGAAAGTTCCTATTTGCAGGCGAATGCCATTTACTCAAGTGTGAATTGCCCAACTAAACAATGAGAAATAAAACAATGAAAGTATACATTTCACCATGAGTTTTTATGTTGGCTGTAGTTTGTTGTTTTATTTTTAAAATGCAGCCGTCTGTGTTGGTGCCACTGAGATGCCCGGCGCAGGGCAGATTACAGACGCACTAGACGTATTTTTGTTTCAAACATGTAAACAAATATGAAACAAACATGAAATAATTTTCATATGCAAAAAATGCAAAACTTAACTGCAAAAAGTGCTACCAGACACGGAGAGGGGATACTAGGTCGGCGTACCGAGACAACACTTTCAAACGCACACTCTCCCTTCTCTAATCCTTCGTCCCATCTAACTGCTTGCAACCCTTTTCTTTTTGAAGTTGTGGTTCCTTCGGAAATGAATGAGAGCACCCATACGGTTGTTTTAGTGTGGGACAAGACCACAAAGCTCAGTTTTTTAGATTCTGCCATTGCTGATAATAATTTTCTGCTGGGTAAAAAAAAAAAGTTCTATAGACAACGTCCAGACGCTGCAATAAACCTTTGTGAAAGAAAATAAAACTTGTGCACTCTAGAATTTAAAAATACATGGGAGTCCACAGACTTAACCACAGATTTAACCGATTTTACATATTTTAATCGTAAGAACGCAGTGAGTTAATAGCATCCTGTGTGTTTAGAATTACGAATACAAAAGCCTTGAATGAACTGGTGTTGGACACTTATTGTGTTCTATCAGTCAGAAAATGTCGTAACTTAACCTGGTTGTAAACGCATCTCCAAAGATGTTTACAGTGAAACCGGCTTGATTGGGTCTCTTGGCTCCATAGCGCCACTAGTGGCCCAAAACTCCACAGGTCTCTGTAACATTTTGAGAATTCGCCTCTAAATGGCTTCCGTCAGACTGTGCTTGCGGTTTGGCAGGATCCAACCCCATAATGGTACAAACCTTAACCTCCATCAACCTAATTTAAATCCGACCACAGCTATTTGATAAGTACACAGCCTGTGGTTGTGCTCTACCTTCTACATTTGTTGGAGTTTAAGAGTTTAATTATCAGTCGTGTCGGATCTTGCCTGTGTACGTTGGCCAATAAAAAAAAAAAAGCATTCCGTAGCTTTACCAGATGTGCAGTTGAGATTGAGAAGAGATGGAGGAGGAAGACCAGATGTGCAGCTAGCAGAAACGCTGCCAAGTCTGTTTTGATGTCTCGGGTTGTGAAATCAGCTCAGACACAGAAACAGAAGAGTTTGTCCGAAAACGACACACGAGCTGAATTCACAAACAACATCCGTAGAAAAAACGTGTTTGTCTACATCAGAGAAACAGCAACAATAACAGAGAGTTATCGGTGTGGAACGACAGACAAGCGAAGGACTATATTTCTCGGTTTTGGATTTGAGAGAAGACATGGACACCCGGATTGTTTCACAAGTCGCCAGGTTACAAGCTAATTTAAATCAATAAAAAGCTAAATCGTCAGGTTGCATTTCGGCCAATGTGTTGCGCCTCGTTCGCTCTCCATACAGACCGTTTACCTGGATAGACCCGTTGCCATATTAATGCAGAATCTGTTTAAAGAGATTTGGGATAAAACAATCAGTTCCCAGTCAGAATGACTGGTATTTTTAAAATGATTATTATTTTGGGGTTATTTTTAGAGACTGCGGTTAAATAGTCCAACTAAAACACGTCCTAATGTGTTTTCTTCACCACTTTACCTTGACCTCAATGGATGTCAATTATGTTACAGTTAATTAAACAGCGACGGTGGTTGTTTTTGGGGGCCGAATGGCTGCCGCAAGTAATTATTGGGCGACATTATCTCCTTTCCTTTGATTCCGGATGGTGAACCCTATGCTAAAAGAGATAAGAAAGGAAGCATTGAAGCACCTTTCCATAGAGGATTTGATCAGCACTTAACATAGTCTTTAGATACTTCTGCCTCATTTTACTCAATTAGGAACCTTCCAACGCAAATAAGACGATTCAACCTCAGCCACAGACTGGGAATGGGTGGGGAGAGAGAGAGTGGTATGGCAGTACCAAAAACCTCAAGGCCAGAATCTAACCCCGGATGTTGCGATAATGCGGCATCCGCTGTTTTAGATTTTTTTAGTGTTCGTATAGAAATCTCCTAATGAGAACTTGCGACCTCCGATATGGCTGCTGGAGGACATGGACAAGTGTAAATAAAATGAAAGGTCCCTAAATACAAATTGCCTTTGAGCAAGGCATTGAGCCTCCAGCTGCTCTAACAGAACTATAAAGAAGCTAGATGTATAAATCTTAATTTAGGCACCAGTATGCACGAACACTGGGACATTAAGGCTTTCGAACTTTTTAAGAAGGTTATGCTGACTTCTAATGTGTGTACTTTACAGAGACTTCACTGTATGTAATGTAACTTTTGCTGTTTGCTCCTATGATTACCTTAATATAGAGGGATTTAAGTGCACATGTACAGTACATATGCATTAATAGTAAGCCTTCTCTAGAACAAATAGTTTATTTTACTTTAGGGCTTCTTCCGTTCATTACGTTTTTTTTTATTAAGGAATGCAACCCTGTTTGAAACTCTGAGTCTTGGGGGAACCTGTCAAATGTCAGCCAGCACTACATTAGGATGTAAAGGTTGCTTTGGGCACACATACACACGCTCCTAATTCTGTGCTCTAATTCATGTCAGCAGGCTTGCTCCGCTGACAGACAGTGGCAGCATGCATGCTGGTCTTTGCAGCAGCGTGCGCCAAAAGCCATCTGTCCTGTAACAGAAAGAGCGGCATAGATTATGTTGTCCAGAAAGAGGGGAGGGAGGGAGAGAGAGAGAGCGAGAGAGAGAGAGAGAGACAGAGAGAAAGAGAGAGAGCATTACGCACACCCTGATCCTCTCCACGCAGAACCAGTGTGGCGCGGAGACAGGCGGCAGCCCTCAGAAAGTGGGAAGATTTCGCCAAAGGATTCTGTCTACAGATTAATCACCTTCATGTCGACTGTGTTGGATACTAACCCGCCGATGCTATGGTTACCTTTATTACGGTAGGAACTGCTTCACTCAGTTTGTTTCATTTGGTGCCTCGTGCAGCATTTTTGTTATTTATTTATCTTTTTGTCGCTAAAGAACTCTGGTTATTGGGGAATCTGATGCGAGTGGAGTGACAGAGGCTGACCCAAAGTGTTCAATGAGTGCAACTGTCTTAGGTTGAAGTTGAAGTGCACCAAATCGCGCGATGGAGAGCTTTGCAGAGCTGCTGGAGTAGCTTTTGGAACTTTTGGATATAGAAGGACTTTGGCACCGCAGCGGTGTCTAAATTGGTTTGAAGTGTCTCCAGATTAAATATTTACTTTTTGTACAGCAGAGTAGTTGCATGAAGCGTTCAGGGACTTATTTCTTCTTGTAAACTTGACCTTTGTCAAGTTAAAAAAAGAAGAAAAAAGTAGAAAGTGACGTAAGGCGCTGTATGCTTCCTCAAGGTAACCTAGTGCGGACAAACTCCCTTCCTCTATCTCTCTCTCCCTCTCCCTCTTTCTCTGTGCACAGGTACACAAAAGGGTTGGGTCTGGCTCGCTTACGCACACAAACATTGGAGACTCTCCTGGTGTTTGTTTTCACATGCACTCGGAAGTCTTGCTCTTTACAAAGGCGGTGTGCGGGGTGTCGGAGGGAGCAGAACTGGCCCGGTGCGCACGGGAACGGCTCAGATGTGGTTCAGCTTGTATATCTTGCGGATTACCGAACGTGCTAATTATGCCTCGTTGCGCTCGCTGTTAGCGGCAGTGAAAGCTGAGCTGTCACAGTTGACTCCCAACACAAACATCTTGTTTCCCTCTCTGCGCGTCCCTTGCCCCGTGTGGATATTTGTTTGTGTATGCATGTAAACTAAAGACTGTGCGCGCACGAGGGGGAGAGAGTGAACAGCCTCTGGGTGCGCAGAGGTCCTCTTCGAGGTCCTAAACTTTTTGGACAAAATGCAACTAAACTTATTTTTTGCTATAAATTCAAGTTTCACATTTGTGTTATCGACTTTGTGGAGCTGAAGTTTTGTGATTTGCATGAATGTGAGTGCATGTGTGGATCAATTTGTTAAGTTTCCCCTTCAGATATCAGTATTTACAAGTCGTTTGGAGGTGCTGATGGGATAAGAGCCAAATAGCCCAGTAACCCAAAAATACTGCTGCTGCTTGCGTGCCCGCGCGCATGTGTCCAGTCCGCTAACATAACATGGAGACAGATAACAGTGCTGCAGTATGACAAGCTGTTTCAACATAGGTGTTGCAGGTATTCATAATCAAATTCTACCCACAACAAATTCTTCCAAAACAAAAAATGATGTCCCTTTTGCCAGACATTGCCAAAATGACTTATTTTTAATATATGATCAAGATTATTACTAGAAACAATGCAAATGCAATCTGTTCTGGGTATCCAAAAAGAAAAGAAAAAATGTGCCAAAATAGATAACTTCAGTTATGACTTGTAACAATTGGATTGTAGATATCTGACATGTGAGTTGCTTTAGTAAGAATATTATTACGTCAAAATGCAATTGTGTTTATCTGAAATTGAAAGGGCTGCACGGTGGTGTAGTGGCTAGCACTATCACTTCACAGCAAGAGGGGCCCAGGTTTGACCCCCGATCCCGGGTGGTCCTTCTGTGTGGAGTTTGCATGTTCTCCCCGTTGCAGCGTGGGTTCCCTCCGGGTTCTCCGGCTTCCTCCCACAGTCCAAAGACATGCAGCTTAGGTTATTTGGAGACTCGAAATTGCCCATAGGTGTGAGCGTGAATGTTTGTCTGTCTCTACATGTGCCCTGCGATGAACTGGCAACCTGTCCAGGGTGTACCCTGCCTTCGCCCAATGTCAGCTGGGATCGGCTCCAGTATCCCGCGACCCTGAACAGGATAAGCGGTTTGGATAATGAATGAATGAAATTGAAAGGCCAATACACATCAGTGGCAAAGGTGAGAGTGTTTTTCCTATAGTTCCTATACGTTGAGGATATCTGAGAAGTTCTTTTTTACTAAAAATAATACAATGATAGATATCTGCAAAAGATATCCAGTCGAGCAACTTCAAAACAACCATCGGATCTGAAGATTTCTTAAATTAAGTTTTGACATGTACAATCAAAGTTGAAGATATCCTAAAATTCTTCAAAAAATCTTGACCACAGAAGAAATGCCACCATGGAAACCTCAAAAAGGAGTGTGGTTCCATTAAAAGCAACCTGCCACAGCTGCGGTGCAGTTGTCTGATATGCCATGTGGTCTGGGCAGCTTTGCGTAATGGCGCGAATCAGTGGGCGTCTTCAGGCTTTGGTGGATGCTTTGCTGCTGCTGTGGGAGTCCTCTTATGTGTGTGTGTTGGAGTGTGGCCGCTGCTGGAGCAGCTGTTGCAGTGGTGGATTTGACGCAGAGCCCCTCCTGACATGCCGGCACACAGCAGGACGAGGAGATTAGGATGCACGGAAGGACGCGAGAGAGAGGAGCCGGTTCCATTCTAGTGATTCTTTGACTTTACGGGCACTTGAGTCAAAACTGGCCTCCAGTGCAGCCTGAGCTTAGAGCTCTGAGTGCGGAGCAGCTGCGCCGACTCAGTTTAACAACTTACATTTTGTGTTTTACTGCAGGGGGAAAAGAGAAAAATCAGCAGCAAGGGGTGTGAACATATTAGGGGCTGGGCTCATGGGACGAACATAAAGGAGAAAGGAGATAAGGGTAGAAAGGGGCCACAAAGGTGGTTTAATACACTGAGAATGTTACTGTGGAGAGTTCCTCTGGTCCCTTTTTGCTCTGCATTCCAACCTTTCTGAGTGAATCGAACTCCCCGCCTCTCTCTCTCTCTGCTTCACTCTCCCTTCTCATACCTGTTTCATTCGTTGCCCAAATTGATTTTGGTAATGTTGCAGGACTCGTCTGGCAAAATCCAGATGACATGAGTAAACAAAGTTCATCGTAGCCTGAAATTTTGACGAAGCTCGGTGCTGGTTTCAAATCACAGACAAACAGAAATAATGCGTGAGGAGAAGACGCATGAGTAACTATTGGTAACAAAAGACTCTCATGAGGCTGCTACAGTGTTGTAAAAGACTGTCAAGTTGAGTTTGTGGGAAAAACGCGCTTCCTCATGCTAATTTGAGGTTTAAATAAACAAACAGGTGATAGACGGGAGGTAACTTCTCCCTGTCCCATTTAACCCTAAACGTTGGTCACTGAGGATTTTTCATCAGCCACTTATTCGGTATATATCATATACAGAAATAATAGTAACTAAACGACCACTCGTGTTGGAAGCTGGTTCTGTTTTGGACCAATTTTACTCCATAACATGAAGAAAATCACATGTAAACATAACGACAGCATCAGGGAGGGTAAGATTTCATGTGGAATGATGTATCCATAGTCTATTTAAACTTTATAAGAGGCTGTTCAGTCAAATGTTCTGGCCTGAGCTGAGGAACTTTTGTACTATCTAGCAGGAGGTATGTCACGCGACAAAAATATGTAGCAGTCGATCCCATTACCAGTGAAATTCCACAATTCTCCAAAGCCAATTCGATACCACGTTAAAAGACAACAGAAACAAAACAATAAAGACTTAGAGCTAGTGTTAGGAAGTTATACAGGCTATAATTCCCTCTGTAATATCTATTTTATATTGATGCGAAAACATCTCTTTTAAATCTTTTTATGTTCTCCCTGTTTAATCTGGCGTTTATGTTCGCTGCCATGTTCATTAGGACCCCCCTTGTAAAAGAGAGTAAAATCTCAATGGCATTATCCTGAATTAATAAAGGGTAAATCAAAAAAAGTAATGAACAAACAACTGTATTTATCAGGTTTCTCATCAAATTTTTTTTTTACAAGATTACATTTGAACACATCATGATAACACTATAATTTACTGTTGCCTAATAATTATGGAATAGAGCTTGAACGTAACATAATGCACCTTAATGTAATCTCCGTTAACGTTAGCCGTTAGCTCCGCAGGACTGTGCTGCTAACGGCTGCTAACGTTAAATCTGTGTTGAAATCAGGAGGAAAGCTAGTTTTCGTTCACAATGTTGCATCATTAGGGTAAAAAACTACGATGCAGTACCCGCTGTACTGTAGAAAAATTTTGGCATCGACTTGGTACTGAAGCATCGGTTCTTGTGACATCCATACACAACATTAACTTTGGAAGTCAATCATCTGATTTCATATAATTCCTCACATTAAATTTATAAAATTAGCAACGCACTGAACAAGAACTACATCTCTTACTTTGGAAGTAAATTAGAAAGAGACCACTTAATGGCCAGTGTGAACAAGAGCAATGATTACAGCAAGGAACACCGTTTCGGTGTATATAATGGGCACCTGACTCTTCTTTTAGGACAGGCTTTAAAAATTCAGAACTTGTCCTTTAACTGAAAGTTGCTAACTAGACACCCGTGACCCAAGGATCATGTGAATTTGGATCCAGATCCAAACTCATATGACTCCCTTCAATAATCTAGCTACATTTGTCAAAATCTAATTTGACAAGCCCGAAACCATCCAGTCACGAGCTTTGAATTAGATGTTCGAAGAACCATTTTAGATGGAAATACGCAAAGAGGAAAAAGTTGGTGGGTGACGGTAAATGAAACGCCGGAATTATTGCCAAGTATTGCCACTGGTGTTTTGTACAATTAGCACCTTCAAAAGCACCAAAGGTGACTGAGGTCCACCCATCACTCTGCAACTCTAACAGCACTTGACAAAAAAACGTTTCTCTCAGGTTGTTTCTGCTTTTTGAGACATTTGAAGGGTTTCGTAATGAAAGTCAAGTGGAGCTCAAGTACTTTTCTCATAGATTTGCGTCAAATGTGGTGTTTGCAAGACGGCTGGGGTCAAGCACCTTAAGGGGTTGTCAGGCCTTTTTCTAGCAGGTTAGTGAACATGACTGACATCTGCGTGGGACTACAGATGGAAAATAGCCTCTTGGCTATGACTCTGGCCCATTTACAGGAATGTTTTATTAGTGTGCACTGTCCCTAGCCAAATAAGCCA